ATTTCCTAATTCTATTCCTATTTCTATTCTATTTCTAATTCTTGTTCTAATTCTATTCTATTCCTATTCCCATTGCATTTGTAACCTTTGCAGTCTGTACAGCAAAGGAGGGCTGAAGTGAGATCGGCTAGCAAACACTTCACTTCATTACCACATTGCCCACGCCAATTGGGGGTCACTAGACGAGGACTCCTGTCCTCCCCTCCTTGAAATTCCAGACCGAATATTCCACCTGGAACAGGAAGTGGAAATACCTGGCAATTAAGTCCAGTGTACCCCTGTGGGCAGGTGCATTTGTAGGTCCCGTAGCTGTCCTGGCAAGTTCCTCCATTCATGCAGGGTCTGGAGTCGCACTCATTGATGTCATGTTCACAATAAATGCCAGTGAAGCCAGGCGGGCAGACACAGGTGAAGGTGTTGATGCCGTCCACACAGGTCGCCCCGTTGAAGCAGGAGCTGAGTGGCAGGAGGAAGAAAGATAGTGTGTCACTCACCCCTGGCCTCAGAGATGCTGGACACCACATGAATGTGAGGACCAGGTCAGAAGGGGTCTGTTTCGATCCATCGGGCACATCCTAGATCAACGTTTCTCTGCCTCGAGAACCTGAAGATGGGTGGACTTCAATTCCCAGGATTTGTGGCTGGCTGGGAATTTCTGGAAGAAGTCTGCCCACCTTTAAGTTGTCATGATTGTTTGTTTGCTCTGCAACCCAACAGGACAGACACAGACTTCAACGGATAATTACAACTGCAGAAAAAACAATGGCTACCAACCTGCCTTCCACGGAGGACCCGCATACTGCACGAGTCAAAAAGAGGGCTGTGAAAATATCTACAGACCCCTCACATCCCGGACATAAACTGTTTCAACTCCTTCCCTCAAAATGACGCTATAGAGCATTGCACACCAGAACAACTAGACACAAGGAGAGTTTTTTTCCCTGAACACCATCACTCTGCTAAACAAATAACTCCCACAACACTGTCAAATTACTTAATAAGACTGTATTACTATTATTCTTCTCATCCTTCCTATTACCTATCTCTTCCCACTTATGACTATAACCGTGTTGCTTGTATCTCTATGATTTATATTCTTTTATTTGTTTTCCTAGTATGTTTTGATTGCGTATTAGTAACCCATGTATGATTTGATTGCTTATAGTAATCTATGACTATCACTAAGTGTTGTATCTTATAATTCTTGATGAATGTATTTTATTTTTTATGTACCCTTACAGCATACTCACCAAAGACAAATTCCTTGTGTGTCCAATCACACCTGTTCTGTTCTATTCTATTCATCACATTCCATTCCATATTACGATTCTATTCTATATTCTGTATTCTATTCCATTCTATATTGTTTTATCTAGTTTTCTAGTATGATTTATGTTGATTGCTTCTTTAGTATCCTACAACTATCACTAAGTGTTGTATCTTATGATTTAAGATGAATGTATTTTTAGGATGGCTATGATCATGGTTTATCACTTGTTGCTTGTATGTACACTGAGAGCTTATGCACTGGAGACAAATTCCTTGTGTGTCCAATCTCACCTGGAAGTAAGGGGTTCTATTGGAAAGGCCCCTCCTGGATGAACCTACCTCTCCGTGCAGTCTGGAGTGTTGTGCTCACAATGGATCCCACTGAACCCAGACGGGCACGTACAGGTGTAGCTGTTCACGCAGTCCGTGCAGTTGGCCCCGTTCTTGCAGGGGTTGCTGGCACATTCGTCCACGTCTTCCTGGCATTCGAGGCCCTGGAAGCCCGCCAGGCAGTTGCAGGAAAAGCCGTTGACGCTGTCAGAACAGGAGCCCCCATTGTGGCAGGGATCTGGTGGGGGGAGAGACAACCAGACTGGCATCACATTCGCACCACCAGGGGGGAGGGAAGGGGGCCTGTGGGGCACTCTCCCAAGCGGCGTAGTAGTATCTCTTGTCCATGACCTCTTCAACAACTCCTGGAAAGGGAACCCCACCACACCTCGGGGGTCCCTGGCTTCTAACATGCCCGGAATTTGCTTTCCAGGAATTTAAATCCATGGTGCTGGGTTTCTGGAATAAGAAGCCAAGGGATCAGTGGTGGGATTAAAATTGTTTTACCACTGGTTCAGTGGGCGTGGCTTGGTGGGCGTGGCTCTCAGCTGAGTGTCAGGATTTTTTTCCCCTCCTCTTCAGCTAATCGTCGGCGGTTTTTGTTTTTTTTACTACCGGTTCCAGTGAACCGGTCCAAACCGGTAGCATACCACCACTGCAAGGGATGCCCTCCCCTCGCTCCTTTTGCAAAGGAAGGGCACCTCTTTTTTTCCTCCAATGTCCCCCCCAAACCAAATGGCCTGCAGAGATGTTCCTGTGTGCCCAGACGATCAGGGGGAGGGGGCAGTGGGGGACGGGGGGGATAAGCAGTTTTCTCCATTCAAAGAGAAGCCTTGAAAGGCACCAGATCGGCTGTCCAGCTGTGTGTCGTCATCCCCCCCACCCCCCAATCTTCCCAGCTCAGTCGGGACAAGCCCTGACCGGGGAGTTTGTTTCCCAGGCCCATCGGGATTCTTACTGGGTTGACAGTCATCGATGTCCGTTTCACAGCTGTTCCCTGTGAAACCAGGTTTGCACATGCAGCGGTAGCTCCCGTTGGTGTTTTGGCACGTGGCACCGTTCTGACAGGGGCTCTTCACGCACTCGTTGATGTCGATTTCACATGTTTGCCCTGATAAGTGAAGGGGGAGAGAGAGAGAGAGAGAGAGATGACTGTGAGAAATGGCCTCTTCGCTCGTCTCTAAAGCCACTCAATGACCACTCTTCCCTGAAGAGCAGCAATGTTCCTTCTTGGTCAATGGTGCCCTTCATCCCTTGAGAACCGGGCTCTCCAACCTTGGCAACTCTAAGACTTGTGGACTTCAACTCCCAGAATTCCTCAGCCAGCTTTGCTTTGCTAGCTGAGGAATTCTGGGAGTTGAAGTCCACAAGTCTTAAAGTGGCCAAGGTTGGAGAGCTCTGCTCTAGAACGACCAGAGGCCTCTCCTTACCGTGACTTATGCCCAAGGTGGATTATAGCAAAATAAAAATCCCATATAACGGCGCTGAACTGATTAATATAAAGCAGGAAGCTAATTAATATACAGCCATAAACCCCCAAGAACATGTGCACGTCAGGACTGAAAACACACAAAGGGAAGAACTTGGTCCCAAGACTAGAGGAAGAAAGCAAAGTGAAAAATAATTCATTAAGGCCCGAATGATGGAGCCAAGGTAGCCACGATTGCTAGTTTGACTCTGAAATGTGGAAGAAGAGATGATCTAGTTGAGAACTTCCGCCTGGTTACCATGGGACCATAATCCAGCAGGGCCCTTCTGAGGTAGTCAGCTAATTAAGACTTATTAGGATTGAGAAACCGTTAATTAAGCATCAGCTAATGCTTTAGACTTGCAATCTCCATGTATGTGCAGCTCATGTAAAAAAATGGAATGAGTGCAGCAGAGAGAGGGATGAAAATTTGGAGTTGGGAGACCCAAAGGCATTTCCACCCAGACTGTCAAAACTGTTCATCGCTGACTTGGAGGATTTATCTGGAAAGGGAATGTTAGGCTAGGTTGGGGATGTCTATGTTTACAATTATTTAACCCCGTTAATCAGCTCAAATGCAGAAGGCTTCCAGTTGGGTGGACATCAATGCCCAGAATTGATGTGTAGTAGCACAGGCGGTGTAGTAGCTACTCGCTGGGAATTCTGGGAGATGAAGCTTGTGTGCCTGTAGATATCCAGAGCAGGGATATACCTAAATATGATCTGTTTAAAAAAAAAAAATTTTGTTCTTTATAGCAGCATTCTCAACTTTAGCAATTTTAAAGTGTGTGGATTAACTCCCAGAACCCCCCAGCCGGCCATGGGGAATTCTGGGAAAGATAGTCCGGGTACCTTAGTGTCACAAGATTGAGAAATGCTGCTTTAGACCTTTGTAAAATGTGGTACTGCAGGCTACTTCTGCTGACTGCCGGCTGCCTGCAATTGGGCAGATCGAATCCCACCAGGCTCAAGATTCAGACTCAACCTCCCGTCTTCTGAGGTGGGTAAAATGAGGACCCAGATTGTTGGGGGAAAGAGGCTGACTTTGTAAACCGCTTAGAGAGAGAGCTGGAAAGCACTGGGAAGTGGTATGTAAGTGCTATTGCTAGCTGGGAAGGGAGAGAGGCAGAGGAGGCAGGGAGGGAGGGAGGGAGGGAGGGAGGGAGGGAGGGAGGAA